TACCACCGGACTTGTATTGATTATTTAAAAATCCTAATTGAATACCACCAGACTTTTATTGTTTACTTAAAAATCCTAATTGAATACTGCTGTACTTTTAAGCTTCAAAATAATCCATTAAAATCTTAATTGAATACACCCTCCTTAATTACTTATTGGAGAATCCCCCTATATATAGTAAAGGAGACAAAACATACTGTTGGAGAGAGACAAAGTGAATGGGAGTAAAAGTGGGAGTTTAGCATTACCATAACACCTTTCTTTTAAAATTAATTATTACAATTGCTTAAAATAATAAGGGAAATATTGATCTATAACTTCCCATGATTGAAGAAAAGCTAGCATTCTCTTCATAAAGTTTTTTTATTTTATTTGATAATAATCTAAACAGAGATTCGAATTCGGGACTTCTTTCAATTTTGGAAAGAGAATTACGACTAAATCAAAACTAGACTTTTACTAATGAAAACTCTTTTATGTCCAAAGCTAAACTTTATATATATCCAATGACTCTTCACTGAGCACAGCATTTAGCTAAAGGTAGGAGTTAGAAAGTCATCACATAATAAGAAGTCCCATACTTGGAATTTCAAACTTCTAAACTTCTTTTTTTTATCTGCCCAAACATACCATTTTCTATTTGTGCCAATGATCATCTAGTCCAAGAGAATGGGGTGATGCAAACTCAGAGAACTGTAAGGGACAAACGCAGCCACTACTGGGGACGCAATATCCAGGAGGTACACATCCAGCACAACTTGTTTTAGAAAGGGTTATGCGCAAAGTGTCAAAGTCAGTTCATTTGCTTGACATAACAACACTTTCACAATTAAGAAAAGATGGTCACCCTTCAGCCTACGGGTATGGATGTTCGCGCGGCACGGATTGCACCCACTGGTGTCTTCCCGGCGTTCCAGATACTTGGAATCAACTTCTATTTGTAGCACTCTTCCAAAGCTGAATTGATAATTTTCTAATGATGTTATCCCTTGGAAGCCATATAGTTCAGTTAGGCTAGCAATTAGGAACTCCTTAATGTTTGAATAAAGTAGGGTCAATTGATGTACTTTGTGCCTTTTTGTAGTTTGTTTAGCTGTTTGGATTTCTTTTTTGGCACTTTTCCGAATATGTAAAACTTAATCTAACATAAACATCAACAACAGAACAGGAAAAGCGGGTTTTGTAAGCTAGTTTGAGTTGAAATTTATCGTACTTTGGACTTAACAAAAGAAAAGGAGAGAGAGATTAACAAAAGAAAAGGAGGGAGAGAGAGAGAGACTTTGTACTTTGTACTTTGTAAGCTATTTTGTAAGCGGGTTTTGTATTCCCTAGATTCCCAAGTTGAAATTAACAAAAGAAAAGGAGAGAGAGAGAGAGAGACGTGAGAGGGAGGAGAGTTCCTTTGGACCTTGGACTTAAAATGGGCCTAAGAAATGAGTTTTTGTGGCTTTAAACTTAAATTTATTTTTTGAATTTATAAAATTGAATCTAAGTGGGATACCAAATAATCCCTTACAGTGTGTTTGGATGAGGAAATTTAAAAATACAAAGGATTTCATAAATGACGGAATTTAAAATGACGGAAATTAATGTTCTAGAATTTGTAAAGTTTCTTGTTTGGGTGACAGATTTAAAACACGGAATTTAACCTTTATTTGTAAAGTTATCTTTTTAAAAACTCAATCTCTCTTGGGATTTTAGAAATGACGACTTTTAGATGGAATTTAAAGTTGGGATTTATGGTCTCCAAATTCCATGTTTTTTCCCACGCGGAATTTCTAAATTTCTATGTTTTTTTATCCAAACACGGGAATTGGTTCATGTCAATTTAGAAATTCTGACTTTTGTCAAAATCCCAAGTTTATTTCCCTCATCCAAACGCACTGTTATAGTTTCTTTGAACTTTTATAAGACTTTAGTCATGTTAGTAGTTTAGTTTGGATTGGGCTGGACCTTCTGGTCAAACATTAATTAATCAAAAGATGGTCCTTGCGGCTCTTGGGCTTTATGAATAACAACATCATTATCACCAAAACATCTTGTCTTTTTATTTTTGGTCGAAATCAAAACATGTTGTTTGACTCTAAGAGATAATAACACAGATTTCGCCAGAAATCAAGCACATATAAAACAAGAAGCACTAATACACAGCTTGATAAAAAGTTGAGGTTCTTCTATTAATAAGTTTGCCTTGTATCATCGAAATTATCTAACAAAATTGTCCCAAAAATATGATGATTTTATAATACACAAATTTTGACAAGCATGTAAACAACATTATAACATATTATACCTATACTTTAGGGAAGTTTCATATTTCATGAAGTATAAACACGCAATGGTGTGATTCTTATTTGACAGACACGGCAAATTGTTGGGGTTTTTATATTCCAAATGGGTCAAATTGTTCAACGAATTTGACAGACACTTGATTTGTTGACAATGTCAATTTATAGATTGGAAAATTTTTCGTGCATAATATGTGATTCTTATTTGATTTCTACCTCCGAATGCCATCTAGAATTGGTGGGGTTTTCAAACATTGAAACACTATGTACTGAAGCTTTAGGCACTTGCTTTGGGTTGATTCATTCCCCTATTATTGTTCCCAGCAGAAAAAAAAAACAAAAAAAAAAATAATGGAACCCCAAATCCAAAATTTAAAACTTTCTAGAGAAAGAGAACAGTTTTACAAAAACATCGGGTATAAATTTTAAATCAAAAATCAAAACAACCAAGCAATCAACAGCCAAGAGTACCCACAAAAAAAAAAAACAATCAACAAAAGGAAGAGAAAAAGAACATTACAACGAAACAATCAACAAGTCTTTCCATCAGCTCCCATGCAAATTTCAAAGAAGTAGGCTCGTCAATGTTCTACGTCTTTAAAAGAGCAGAGTAATCTGGCAATAGGATGTATAAGAGTTTGTATTTTTCTAAAACTTAATTTGAAAAGTGGTGGGGGTGTATGGGGTGTGTGTATAGATGTACTAGGGTTAAGTATTAAGTTGGATGACCTTTTTTGTCTTTTTACACAATAATAAAACTTACAGCTTAATGATTTAAGTATTGGGATGAACAAAAAGAAATTCGGGGTTTAAATAGAAAATCTCAAATTAAAAATCATAAGAAGCAAAATCATACGAAGTGTATGGTAACTTGTTAGAAATAAAAATAAGTAAGGGATAAATATTCGAAATAATTCTTATTTCACATCATTAAGAACTTAACAAGTAAGATATTACATATTAACCCGATTGAAAAACCACATAATTATACTCTCATTCCTTAAGAGAGGTCAGGGGTTCGATCCCCGCTCTCGTATGGAGTCACCACTTTGGCCAGCACTTTACCTCTTACGAGCCAACTCGGTGTAAGCGGGGATTAGTCTGGGTTGTAATTAAGGTTTAAAGGTGCCACCTATAGTTGGGGCCCATCCAGGACCACCTTGTGGTTCAGAAAAAAAAAAAAACCCAGATAATTATTGATACTTACAATATATTATAGGCATTTAAATTAATTAACCAATTAATTTTCATTGTTTGAAAACCAATTGACATCCATGTCCTTAACAGCTCTTGAAGAAATTTCGTCCATCACTTTCTCTTGGCCTTTGGGATAATAAATTCCAGTCCTCTCATGGGGGACCCATAAATTGCTATCATTTCCTCCCATATGGTTCTTGTGCTTCACTTCATCACCTTCAAACTTCTTAGTCTCACGAATCATATCGGCTGAAGAGCTGTTCTTATGAAAATGTTTTCGACCTATGGGCCTGCATGTATGTTAGAGACATACACAAGATTGAGCTGTTCTTATTAATTATTACAACAACAACATTGAGCTAGCTGAATTGATTTTGAATTGATATATATAATTTTGGATCTCTCCACTCTTAGCCGAATTGATTTTGAATTGAATATGGTTTAGATTCATATACAACATATGCAAATAAGAATTCATATCGTCAGCAAGGACTGACTCAGGATTTCAAACTTGACTGGACTAAATTTAACTTACATATAAACAGACTAAGTAGATAGAAAACTTGACCATATGATGTATTTTCATTGATAACATCAAATAATACACCTAATCAAGGGGGAACATAAACAATTTCTTCTACTTTTTTTTTCTTTTTTTTCCAATGGCTATGCATTCTTTCTTTTTTTTCCCTCTGTGTAGAGATGTGCAGCTTTCCTTTTCTCCATTTCATTCTCCACGTACACTGCAGGGAATTCCTTAGAATGTTGGCTTATTCAATTGCAATTGTCTGTCCTATAATTTTTTTATGGGCTGGGAAAAAAAAAAGAGGTATGACTATATACTCATTCTTAGCACTAATACTATAAATAAACCCTACACCATTTAATTTCTATAAACAAACCCAAAAAATTGATAGTTGGCCTTATTGAATTTAATTTTGGTTATTAAATTACTTTGATGCCCTATTGAGTGTTTTGGGTTTTTTTTTATAAGGCTTTGGGGTTGGGTTTGTTTTAAGAAATCGATGGCAGTTTTGTAATTTATAAGAAGTTAAAAGCCTTTTTGTTGTGTTGTAAATGAGCTTTGGATGTGTTTCTAAAGTCTATTTCATATAGGTTTTTTTATAATTTGGGCTCCTATATCTATATATATAAAGCAAAAGGAAGAGAATGGTGAAACATTCAAAATACCAGAAAATGTCCTTGGTTAATCCAAATATTAAGAATTAAAATTATTAATTAAATGAGGATAATATGGTAAATTCACACCTTTTCATATTTAAAAAAATTAAAATTAAAAGAAAAATTAGATAATGAATCCTATTTTTATGGAACACAACTACCCATTATCTTTTTTTATTCTAAAATAAAATTTATTTTATTTTAAAAAAAGCCTCTTCCAGGCGCGGAAGCGCGTGCGGATAGGCTAGTTGGGTATAATAGTGAATCTCCTACAGAAAAAAAAAGCAATGCCTATAGTCCGTCCCTGATCGTTTAGCCATGCCTGTAGTCCGTCCCTGATCGTCAGCTATTTAGATTGACAATTTACTAACATAACATATACAACATGTTACTCAAGTGAGATGCAAAAGAGAAGGAAGAATCGAAGTTGGAATGCTTACTTGAAAACCACGGTGTTCATGGTTTGTGCTCCTCTTGCAAAAACCGTTGCCATTTCCTTCTCACTCTCTCTTTCGAAGTACTCAAAAAATGCAGTTGACAGTTGGACAGTCGTAGCTTGCATATGCAGTTCATAATATATACAAGAATTGAGAGGATAATCTGATAAAATAAAATAATAATAAAAAATAGAAAAAGGATTTGGGAGGGAGGATCATAACATCACCATCACCATCACCATCACCATATCCTATCATCCATTTCTCCCTTCCCAATGCCCAGTGGAGAATTTTGTTATGGGCTTCAGTATGTACGTCACTTTCTGTTTTGAACTTTGAAGATAAATAGTTTATTTCTGGATTAGGAAAGATGCTTTGATCATATGGTGGAGGACCTACTTCAACCACAGACTTTGCTGCTGTGCGAACCTTTACTATTTTTCTTTTTTCTTTTTTTCTTGTTACACAACTTTACCAAATTTTACCCTTATAAAGTGAAATGAAAAATGTACTAAAAAAAAAGTTCATGGGGTATAGCTTAGGTGGTTGAGCTCTTCCACCTCAATTCATATGGTGTGGGCAGAAGTTCGAAACTCTCAGGCACCCAATGAATATTTGTGTAAATCCCCCTCTCCCAATCACTTGTACTAAAAAAAACCTTAAATGAAAAACAAACAAAACAAGAGTAAACAAGACATTAAATATATTTTAAGAGCCAACGATATCCAGCCCAATAGAAAATGGCATAGACTAGCACATCAGTAGTCTAAGTTAACCCCCATAGATGTGTCTGAGAATACCATTCCCTTCCTAACTTTGGCAAGAAAATAAAATATTTTAATAAAATTAGAAGCCTCTCCACAATTTTCACATCAGATCTTTATCTATTTCTCCACCTGCAATTTTTATCATAAATGTGAAAAAAAATTTCATCCAAAAAGAATAACGTGAAAAAAAAATTAGCATATTCTGAAGATTCTAAGTTACATATGTTGAGGCCTAAAAAATCCAAGGCTGGGCCTAAATATATTTCTAACCCAGTATGACACCTAACTTGGGAAGAAACCCAACTTGGGTATGCAAGAGTTCGTCATATACACTTGCACATGTGCCACGCCAAGCAAAAATAAGCAACACTCCATACTACAAGCTTAAGTGGGCCCAAGCCACGCGAATGCCTGGGGCTTGCTGAGCGGGTTGTGGTATGGATGATTACGAGTTTTCATGAGGCCCATTGATAAGCCGAGAAATGGAAGTTTTGGGCTGCTTGGGAGCCTCGAAACTCAAGCCCATTTCTTGGCGTGGCACATGTGGGTAAGCATAAAGAGAGAAAAATAGCCCAATACTTTAGGAAAAATAGCCCAATGCTCTAGGAAATTAGCCCATTCCCTTAATGGGCTAACCCATCACTTTAGGAAAGCCCAAGCAACCAAGGGAAATATCTGTAGTCTCCAGCACTTAGCTGGAAACAAGAACCACGATGAAAGCCAAAATATCCATGTATGCAGGCTGCTAGGAATCTCCAGCATATGGCCAAAGACAAATCCCAACACCAGCCATCCAAAAAACCAAAGGATACTTGAGCAAAACACCCTTTAGACCAGCGCCATTACCCACTCATTTCTCCTACCCGCTCTTGCCATGAAATAAGGGAGGAAATAAGGAGAGATGGTAGCCAAAAATAGGAGATTGCCACAGGGACAGCTACGGGAAGACTCTAGAGCTCCCAAAAATCTTATCTCTATGTATTTGGATTGAGGGAGATTTCATAAAAAGAGGTTGAATCGAAGGAAGAGAAGAGAAATGAAGGAGAAGACTTAGCAAAATTGGAGAGAACCAACTAGGGTCTTCTTGGGAAGAAGGAGCTTCCAGCGGCTATAAAAAGGGTCATCTCCTACCCATCAAAACAACGACATCAAGAGGGCAAGCATCATCTCTCATCCTAACAACACACATCCAGAGAGCAAGCTTCATCTCTCATCCCTGAAACCTCTGCAATTTCGAGTCCTATTCCTCTATCTTCTCCCATTTTCTCTTCTGGTAAATCGTTCTAGAGCTTGACAGAGCTTTCGTCAAGCTGCCAGAAACTACTCAACACACCCATTGTTATTCCACCATCTCTCTTTCTCTCTCTTCAACGAACCCTCTTAGAATCCCTTACCCCTTGCCTTAAAACCCTTGTTTCTCATAGGAACTCACTACCCTCTCTCTCTCTCTCTCTCTCTCTCTCTCTCTCTCTCTCTCTCATGCTAAAATCATGAATGCTCAGCTCCCATGCCACAAGCTTCTCATGCCAAGCCAAGAATTTATCTGTAAGCGATTGTTGGTTTCATTGGTGAAGAAGACCAAGGTGTTTCCTAAGGCTCAGCTACCCTTTCGAAACACTCTTGGGGTCTGATTTTTGAACTCAGACTCAAGGGGCAATTTCATACATTTGGCTCTTTACAGCAACCCAGGCCCATCAGTAGCTGCCGGAACGAAAAAGCCCCACAACATACAATTATGGGTGGGCACGGTCTAGTTCAGGTCGATTTTTGCCTCAAATTGGAACCGAAACTGGTACTATTTACCTAGTTTGGTTCGGTCCAATTTTAACAAAAAAATTTATAAAACTGTTCGATTCGGGTTGAATCGGTTATGGTCTGGTTTGATTTTGAACCCAATTATTATTATTATTTTTTGAAATTATTTTTTTATATAAAGTTCAACTGAATTTTATTTTATTTTAGGCTTGAAAATTGACAAATTATCCAATTTCATAGAAAAAGAAATATTGAGGGTAGAAAATAGAGATTTTTAGAAATTGAGCTTAGGTAAATATTAGTTATGAGATTAAAAATATAGCATTGGATATAAATAAATATTAAAATTATATATTTTTTAATTTGGCCTGTTCGGTTTGATCGATTCAATTTGTTGGGATATAGAACTGGAACTGGAATCGGTTAAAACCGGTTCGATTTGGTTTTTTGAATTGGATTTGACTTTTTGGTCAACACGATGTTTTTAGGTTTTTTCGGGTCTGGTTTGGTTCGATTGATCGGTTCTTCAGTTCCAATGCCCACCTCTACATACAATTGTTGGCGATCCAATGACTAAAGTACATGCTTATGTTATCCTCAGTTTTAATTTTCATGCTGATAACAATATTTTTGAATTATTCATTTGTGTATGATATTCTATAATATTTTCAAGCCCATAATCGAACTTCTAATTCCAGTTACTCACATGGTTACGTTAATATGCAAGAATATTAAAAAAAAAGCAAGAATTTTATTGTTCGGGCCTTATATATAGCCCTTATGTGAGGTCTATTTTTTAATCGTTGGATCAAATTGGTTAGTCTAATACAACAGTTAAGAAATAAGACCTCACCTAAGGGTCATATAAGTCTCGTACTATAGAATAATTCAGTTAACATAAGCCGAAAATGTAGCAACATAAGCCGAAAATCCATCCCAATGGTCCACTTTTTGGGCTATAAATCCCGCAGCCCAGCCGGAGGGATGCAGCCACATACATAAATATAAGAAGAGTAATGCTATTTGGACACACAACATTGACACACTTAGTTGACACCCGCTAATGTGTCAATGTATCATTCGTTGAACAGAAAATGAGGAGAAAAGAAGAGCAAATGATACATTGACACATCAGCGGCTGTCACTAAGTGTGTCAATGTTGTGTGTCCTAATAGCATTACTCATATGTTATTGCCGTTGCTCATCAATGGTTCATATTTGACGAGCCTGCACATGCAAGCTGGAAGCCACTCTCCTAGCGAGCCTGCACATTTATACTCGCCATTATTGCCGCTATGTTATTGCCGTTGCTCATCAATGGTTCATATTTGAAGCTTTAATACCTTTAGAGCACCTAATATAGCCAAAAAAAAAAAAAAAAACAGACTTGTGATGTTATTGCTGTTGCTCATCAATCAATGGTTCAAATTTGAAGCTTTAATACCTTTAGAGCCTCTGATATAGAAAAAAACTTAATTGTAACGAGAATAGCACTGTGTCACTATTCTCGGCCAATAACACAATGACATATGAAAAAATTATTCGACATGTCATTGCATTATTGACTAGAGATAACAAAAAGTGTTATCCTCGTTACATGAGAGTTTCTCTTTTCGAAGCCCCTATTATGGGCTAGAGTCCAAAAGATTTCATTAGAGCTCTAAAATTAGGCTTCATCCACCACATTTAAGTCTCATTTAAAGCCCACCATTGGGTTTGCTCTTATGTGTTAAATTCAGAAATCTCAATGGTATATATTTTTGTTATTACATACCTATTGCTAATAAGCAATCAAAGAAGTTTTCCTTTATAATCTTAATAATTGAAACTTATATAATTAGTAATAATACTTTTTTCTTTTCTACATTTAATGCGCCTAAACTCTTTCTCTATTATATATATTTTTATTTTAATACAAGCGATAGTCTAGAAATCTCATTCATTTTCTTTAATCAATATATACTTTCTATTAATAAGAAAATTGATGATTGGTAAATGAATATCCAAAATTAAAATTATATACACTCTGGATTTTGAGCCTCTTCATTTAACAATCGTGCATTTATCCGCATTTTGTTATATCTCAATCGTTATAAAAACTTTAATGACCTCTAATATGACACGTCAAACTCTAATTATTAATCTCTCTAATATATATATATTTTTTTTAAAACATAAAAACACCTATCGGCCAACCACCCAATATCCCGACAACACCATGGCCGACCCCTTAACCCAACAGGCAACTCCCTCCTCCTCTCGCCACCAACCAACCTCCCCCCCTCTCTCTCCCCCACTTTCTGTCTTTCCAATTAATTCAACCAACCACCTACCAACATCCCTCCTCCTCTTCAATTTAGGCTTTGAGAGGTTGATGCTTTACCGATGGGTTTCAAATTGGGTGTTGGGGTTGGTGATTGTGGTGCATTAGGATAGACAAGGGTAGGGGTGGGCATAAAAACCGATAAACCGAATGAACCGACCGAACCAAACCAAACCGAACCGAAAAATGAGGTTTTTTTGACCAAACCGAA